TTATTGGCCTATATTCTTTTTCAGTGCTTTTAGCATTGTGGAAAACAGTAGGCATAATTTAGCTATCACTTAGGACCAAATGTAAAAATTTTCTATGTACATCAGAAAATATCCCCTTCCCCCCAAAAAAATTCTCTTTGGTTTTAAAGTTCAAGTAAAGACTCTTCCTTCCTTTCCTATGTCTAGGCATCTCCAGACCCCTTATGAGGATCCATTGTGATTTATTGTTCTCCACTCAAGAAGATAAATAGTATGGCCTGCTCATTCTTCATGTGAGAGGCCGCTGGAGCAGGGCCTGAGGAGATGGAGGAAGCAGCAACAGTTGGGACAATTTGCAAGCTTGTGAATCCAGTAAATAAATACATGATAAGCTCACAGTTTCAGGAGCCAATAGTGAGGACTGGCAGTCACCACCATGCATCCTACTGGGGAGTTGTACAGGCCAGGAGGATTTTGTCATAATCCACAGTGTGATTCTATATTAAGCTGTGCCATGCAGTTCTGGCACTGCTCTGAGATGTATGAAGACCAACTTCGAGTAGGAATCTGAAGACCTGCATTTGAAGATTCTTTGCTACTTACTATCTGTGTGACCTAGAGCAAGTCACTTAACAGTGCCTGGCACACAGTAAGGTGCTTAATGAATATGAATCAAATAAATAAAAAAAAACCAAGTAAACCGTCTGTCAGAGCCTCAGTTTCCTCATCTGGGAAATGGAACAGTGCTTCCCCAATAGAATGTGATCCTGAAGGGAGAAGTCTTTCTTTTATATGGATCCCTTGGTGCTGCTTAAACGCGCAGTCTGTGTCAGTAGGTCTGGGAAGGGTGGGCCTGAGTCCTGCATTTCCAGCTAACCTCAAGGATGCTCATGCTGCCTTCTGGATGCACTTGGAATAGCAAGGCTCTAGACTTCATTACTCAGGTGCTTGAAATTATTAATGTTATTTCTTCAGCCAATGGGGTGGGAGAGCTGCTCCAAGGATAGCATGTCTCCAGGTTCCCTGGATGAAGGAGCCTCCTGGGATACAGGACTTTTAGGGTCAGAACCAAGAGAGTCCTGGACCAACTAGAACAAGTTGGTCACTCTATTGGAATTATGGAAGAGAAAGAGATGCTTTCATCCAAGTTGTTTGAGTTGAAAACAAACAGGAAGGTGTTTACTAAGTTCCCACCTTGGACCAATTAGTCTAACACCTTCCATTTCACAGAGGTTTAAACAGGCCCAGGGAAGTTCAGTGATCTGGCCTACATCTCACAGCCTCTGGGGGTTGGGGAGAGAGGCCAGAGCTGCTGGTTTCTGATTCCACATGCAGCTCAACACCTTCTCTACCAGTCCACATTGCCTTTTCCAGCACATTCCTCTTTAGTTGGCAAGCACAGCATGTTTATTTATAAATTGACTTGTTTGGAGCTTGAAATTTGGCATCGTTGGTCTTGTCTGTGAGGAGTTCAAATTTTTCCTGTTTGTTTTGGTTTGCTAAACCATGTTGTGTGAGCAAAAAACACAAAGTAATAAAAACACAATACTGCTAAAGTTGTTCAAATGCAAAGCATCCAGAAATGCGACAGTATCAGCTTACTCAGATTTATTTTGTATCTCGAGATAGTAGATTAAAAATGCATGAGGTTGGCTTCCAGGGATTTACAAGCCCAACATAAGTCAATAACTGGAGTTGCTTCCCTTGGAGCTGGGGCTGGAGGTCTGGGGAAACCCTCCTGCTGGGCCGGAGGCTGGAGGCTGTTCCTTCTCTCCCAAGGACAGGTGCTTGGTGAAGATGTGAGAGAGGAGCAGTTATAATGACCAAGATGTGTGCACCCCAAATTCTTTGCATTTTACTTTGCATACAGCAGAGGTTGTAAAAGACATTCCTTTTATTATTAACACTGAAAATTCACACAAAATACATGTATTTAGGACAGCTAGGGTGCCCTCAGTCCCCAAATCCTCCTAGATGTGCTATAAGTTCAGGTATGTTTTTTTGGGGGGCAGGAGGAGGGAAAACATTTTATCTGTGACATTGATTCTTATGGTGTAAGTTTTCTTGGCCAGGGAGTCTAGGTGCAGCCCCTGAAGACTGATTTGTGCCAGTATGTGAATCCATTCCAGACCCTTTTTGGCACTGTCTTAATTTAACAAACTAAGTTAACAGCTGAGCACAGCCACACACACACACACACACACACACACACACACACACACACAGATATTATATTGAGGAGCCCTGGTAAAGCATACAAATTAAAAAAATTGTTTTCATTGCTCCATCAAGAACCTCTCATAGTGACCAAAGAACATTTTGGGCTCAGGCTCCAGGCTGAAACCTGAACAAGTGCCCTGGAGAGTCATGGGGGTTGGTGGGGATACCTGATTATGGCTAGCGGGAGATGGCCACCTTCAGGCTCTCCAGCCAAGCTTGGAAAGTCTGTTTGCTGTGTTCAAGGTGTTCTTGGGTATTAGGGCTGACAGCTGGGCTCATAAATCTAGGAGTGGCCAAATAAAAGAGACTGAGGTACTTGCAGCCTGATTTGGGTATGTATCCTCATATACTTAGCCCCTGAATTCTCTTTCATATTCCTTTTTTTTTTTTTTTTTTTTAGTTAGCTCTTTTTTTTTTTTTTCTTTTTGGTGATACTGGAGTTTGAACTCAGGGCCTTATGCTTGGCAGGCACTGAGCCACATCCCCAGCTCTTCAGTTGTTTTTCAGATAGGGTCTTGTGTTTTTGCCTGGGGCCAGCCTCAGATTTTGATCCTCCTACCTATGGCCTCCTGCAATAGCTGGGGTGACAGGTGCATTTCACCATGCCGAGCTTATTGATATAGATGGTGTCCCACTAATTTTTTGCTGGGCTGACCTTGAACCATGATCCTTCTGATTTTTGCCTCCCAAGAAGCTGGGATTACAGATCTGAGCATCTACACTCAACTTGTTTAGCTTGGGTAAAAAAAAACATAGCCTTCCTTAGACCTTCTGTTCTCTCTGAAAAACAGAGAAAACTGTCCAGTCCTAGTTCATAGAATTGAAGCTTCCTGTTGAGTGACAGATTTTTATGGGCTTCCCCTACCACACACAACACACACACACACACACACACACACACACACACACACTACCAGGATACCCAAAAATACCATCTGGAGAAGGCACCTGCCAACTACTTGCTTTCCCTGGATACTGAATATGCTTGTGGGATGGAAGGGCCTGGAAATCTGGTTGATGGTGCAAGTATATGAGGTACTGCCTTGCCTTGCTGGACTTTCAGCCAGATGCAGAGTTGGGGGAGGTTCCTGAGACCTGTGTCTCCATCTGGTCACTTATTCTTGAAGCAAGTCACTCACCATCACTACCCGTCTAATATGCTCTAAACCTTGGGGTCAAACTCCTGGATCTGTGTAGAAAGGCATGTCTCTTCAGAGAACCTAAGGACAGTCAGGGACCAGGGACTCTGGGAGGCACTTGTTTCTGTTTCTTGGGGAGCTTCCCCACTGGCCATTTTAGACACAGTAGCCATAGAGGCTTTTCTGTTGGGCTTAAGCAATGACCATTGGGAGGGCTCGGTGCCAGGTCACATTTGTGAAGCTATTACAGACCATCTGTCTTCTGAAGCTTGCGGAGAACTCTACTCTGCTGCATGGTCTCTTTTCCTTCTCAAATCCTCACCACTCTCCCCCACCCCCAGCCTCTGTCCCCTCAGCTCACCCTCCTCTGGTTTGGGAAGGAGAACTGAGGTCCAGCACATTTTCCACATGTCCTCATACGGATAAACCACAGTGGCTGGGATGCTGTCAGTCAAGGCTTTGGGTATGTCTGGGTATTTGCGGACTGCCTTCCTTTCCCCCCACTGAACCTTGTGTGCTCAGACTAACTTCTTTGCAGGTTCCTCATGATGTGCATGAAAAGGCATGACTAAGTGGAGACTATAACTTAACATTTGTTTGCTGCTGATAGTTTTTACTTGGAATGAGGTGAGCTCTAGATTTTAATTTTCAGTACACTTCAGAAGCAGACCCCGGCTCATTACTGGGACAGAAGTCCCTAAAAATCAGGCTAAGTTTGGGAACCTGAACTCCCAGCTTCCAAAACTTCTTGCATAGCTGAGACAGAGGCCACTTTCTAGGTCAAGGTTACTGACACCAGCTTCCTTGGGCAGTTTTGCATCTCACTGGGATCCAAATGAAGCTCTCTGCTGGGGTTGGGGGAGAGGGGAGGGGTCTCAAGGAACACTTGCCCCCCTATTTTCTTCAATGGCTTTAAAAATCCAGTTCAGTGAAGGAAAATTATGAACCAGGCAAGCTTTTCCTTCGGAGGTACCTACCAATGCTGACAGCAGAACGTGGCAGAGAGTAAATCAGACACCACACATCACTGGAGCAAGAAGCCCACATGGTACAAACGGTTGTTCCAGGCCTGGCCCACCAGGTGGGGGCCAGGCAGTAGGTGGAAAAGAGCGGGGCCACAGGCTGTGCACTTTCTGATGCAGAAGTCCTGGGTCTCCACAGAAAGGACAAAGGAAGGGAGCAAAGCCTGAAAATGCAGACCTCCCCAGGTTCTTCTCTCTCTTCTCATGTGGCTTCTGTCTGGTGACAACATGCCCTAAGGGCTAAGAGCTTCCCAGATGGAGGGAACTCCTTCCTCAGGCTTTCAGTGCCACAGGCGCTGGGGCTAAGTGTGCTGACTCCATGGCCGTGAGAACCAGCTCATTAAGTCTATGAACCCTGGAGAACAGCAGCCCCAGTTTCGACTTCAGTTAACCTGTGAACCACAAAGAGGCTTCAGGCCACCAGGAGCAGGGGATGAGGTCATCTCCAGCAAGAGGGGGCTCTGGGACAGTTACAGAGTTAGACCACTGAGAGCCCCAGAAGGGGAGACTCCTCACATTAAAACAGGATGAGATGAGGCTACTGTTCCTTCAAGAAACACACATGGTTGCTTTTTTGCACCCTCTTTGGGGCGTGAGGACTGAACTGTGGCTCTGGCACCACAGTCACTGTCTCATCTTCCTGGCCCAGGGTGAGCTCAAAGGAAGCCAGGAAAAGTCATTTCTTCTCTTGGCTATGACTCATCCCTGGGTCTTTTTGCCTGGTGCTCTTAGCACTGCTCGGCCTCCATGAAGCCTTCCTTCTCATGGCCCGAGGGTTCCACCTCTGTGTAGGTGGAGTGGTTGGGGTGGTTGCGGAACTTCATGGCTGGCCAGTGGTGAGGTCTCCGCTGGAAGGAGCACAGAGGCAAAGTCAGAGGACATATCTCCTTCCTCCCCCATGGGGACCTCGTTCCTGAGGGAAAGTGCCAAGACTTTCTCCAAAAGGGCCAATCTCCCCAAAAGACTCCCTGCTGGGAACCCGCTGGGAGGCAGTTTGAAAGGAGCACATTTTATCCCTCACTGCATGGTCTACAGAACTCATAGCTAAGAGCTTCTGCAACAGAGTAGAAACCTGAGATAGAGGGAAGGGACAGAATGGGCCAGAGATGCCTGGAATGATCCACGGGGGCTCTGGAGATGCCAAGATAATCCTCTAGATCTGCGTCAAATGCAGACCCATCCTATCAGAGTCCCTGTAGTCCCAGGACCTACAGTTCCCAGGTGATACCCAGGGAGGTAGAGAATTTAGGATGACTGGTGAGGACCCACAAGAAATAGGATCATTAAGAAGAAAAAAAAAAAAAAAGCAAGGGAACCATCTAAGTGATGATGAAGTCAATAACCCGTGTAGAAGAGACTGAGCTCCCAAAAGGGCCACCAATGTGCCCCTTTGAAAGCCTCTGAAATGATCCCTTTCTAACAAATAACAAAGATCATAAAGAACTTTCTCTCTGATACCTTTGCCACTTAAACTCTTTCAAGAAATTCACAAAAAAACCCACCAGATTGAGACCTCCTGGAGGGCAGGGACAATGTCTTATTCATCTTCATGTCCTTAGCTCTTAGACAAAATGGCGGCCCCACCATCGTAGGCACTCCATTGGATTTTAAGGAATGAACTAAGTCCTCTGGAAGCTGATAAGTCAACTGAGAATGGAGGAGCCCAGAGCTCTGTGACTCAGAGCAAAGCAGGCTGAGCACTTCCCATGCTGCACCTCACCTGCTCCCTCAGAGTTTTGGAATATTAAAAAAATGCAGCATCATCAGCTACAGCTCCCAGAAAGCACAGTCCTCAGTATCATTTTGCTTGTCATTTGGCATCTTCTGAATAAGTCCCAAGCCTGGAATTTGGGCATGAGAAACCATAAATCACTAGGGAAAAGCTGTCCAAATGGAAATTTTGTGGCCTTTTTGTCCTCCTTTCTTTCCTCTGGGGACTTTCCTAATTTACAAATGGAGAAAGGAAAGCAGACAGGCTGTTCCACAGAGACAGGAGGGCCCATGTGCTAATTCCTAGGGCTGATGGACATAAAAGACACCAACCATTGCAAAATGTGTCAGAATAAAGTTGGTGAAGGTTTCTCAGGGATGTGGTGGGTGAGAGTTGAGATGTGGAGAGAAAGATACTGAATGGCCTAAGAAACACTGATGTAGAAGCAGACAGCAGACCTCAGGTCTATACTGACCTCGATGAAGAAGAGTGCAGCATTGGAATTGGGATGACCATTAATGTAAATCCCAGCCAGGATGATGGCTGCCACCAGAAGTACAGCCAGCACGATGCCCACAATGGTGCCCAGGCGCACAGGAGGGCCCTTTGTCTTTGGGGACAGGTTGTCCTGAAGGCCTGTGGAGAGACAAGTAGAGCAGGGAGAGATCGTGGGGGACCACATAAGACAGAATCTTGGGTTCTGACAAAGTCCCAGAGATAAAAGCCCACAGAACCTTTGGATCCACTTACCAAATACATGGAAAGGTGGGGCAAGAATTGGTGGGATCATTATGATGTAGCCTTGGCACCTTTCAGATGTTCTCTAAAATTACTTAAAAGTTTCCCAAATGTCTAATAAGATCATAAAGGACGTCTTCTCTGATACCTGGACCACATAGTGCTCTCAAGGAATTCATAAAGGACATGTGATGGTTAAGCATTTGGGATCTAGAATTGGTTGTTTGGGTTCAAATCTATGCTCTGTCACTTACTAGCTGTGTGACTTTGGTTAAATTAACCTCTCTGGCTCTCTGCATCACTTCTGCAGAACAGGATAATAATAACAATAACTAGAGGGGTCATTGAGAAGGTTAAATGAGATGATTCATGTCAAGGCCTTACGACCCCACCTAGAACTCATATATATATATAACATATATATATGTTAGCTATTGTGACAGCAAATGACCCCAGATTGAGACCTCCTAGAGGACAAGGGCAGTGTCTTATTCATCTTTATGTCCTCAGGTCTTAGAGATAATGGGGGCTCACTGTTGGTACTCAGGCACTAGAAATTTGTCCCAAGGAGAAGAGGGAATATGTCTACAGACTAGATCTGGAAACTCATCCAGTCCTACTCCTTTCTTGGTATGACTGGGGTATTGAAAACCAGAGAGGTTAAGTGATTTGCCCAAGGACAGACAAATTCAGTGTCAGTCACTAAGAAGCCTAGTTCCCTGAGGTCACTTAGGGTAGTTGTTTGCTTCTTCCCCCTACCTGAAAAGAACATGGAGATAATGAAGTAGACAGATGCACATGTCAGCAAAAGAAATACTAAGTCTTTTTTACATAGCTAAAAAAGGGGAGGCAACAGAGGGTGGGGATTTTTAATGGGATGTTTCATGTATCAGAATTATTGTCCTTATATCCCTTTTCTCTGTTGGCACTTTAATCAGAGGAAACCCAGGACAGAAATCCAGTGCACAGCTAGTGCCTCCATCTGCCAGCAAGTGGTAGGCTTGGGGTGACATACATGCCTAGGCTAGCCTCCTCTGACCTGGTTGGACCTTGACCCTGTGATTTGATGGTCAGGACTGTGGCTGATGAGCACATAGGCAAGAGCGAGGGGAACATGGCCTGGCTCCCCACCCCAGCCACACACCCACACTTGCTGCCAAGGGAGCACTGGTGCCATCTCCACCAGGAGATGTATCAAGCTGCACTGCGTCAATAACCTGCCTCACCCACTGGACCCCCTACACAACCGTTTCCATGTCCACCCTCGGCCACGGCTGCAGCAAGGGCTGAGCTGACTAAGCAAAAGGCCAAGGGATGAGGGGCCCCTCCTGTGTCCACCATGATCATCCTCCTCATCATCCCAGAGACCACGAGAATCTCAATCTGGTACCCTGCAAAAAGTGTGGAAGACAACTTCCATGTGCTCCCTGCCAACCCAGAGAAACAGGATATCGGAGAAGCTGCCCTCTTCCATTGACTGGGAGGCCACAGGAAGGAGAGGCCACAACCACAGCACCCCAGCCTGCCCTAGCTCAACCCTCCCCTACTCCCACCCTGTCTAGGCAGTGAACACAGGTTCATGGCTAGCATGTCTAGGCATGTTCCTTCAACCTAGTGGCCTGTGCAGAGAGGCATTCTGTCCTCCCTCCCCTCCCCCACCAAAAGAGGCCCAGAGACTTCTGCACCCTCCTTCAGATGGATCTAGAGCCAGGAATCTGATGAAGAGGGGCCTGCAGTTTGGTACTCACCATCTCCTCCTGCATAGGAATTCAACTTGGTGTCATCTTCAAAGAGACAGGACAAAGAAGCAAGATTAGTGGAATCGTTAAGGCCTGTCACCCGGGGTCTGGATGATACTTTAAGGAAGTTCAGTCCAACTTTTCATTTTAGATGCAGGAAAACTGAAGCACAGAGAGGGGAGGTGACTTGCTCAAAGTCACATAGCCATGCAATGGTAGAAGGCCCAAACAAGCCAACTTTTCCTGTCTAGTGTCCATTCATTCAACAAATATCAGTTGAGTGTTTACTATGGGCTGGGCCTTGGGAGCAGGTGCTGGTGACACTGCAGGTAACAGATAGTCATGGCCTGGCCTCAGAGTGGGGGGATGGAGGGGCATGTAAAACCCACATGATGCTCGGTGGTATAGCATATGCAGAGCATGTGTCAGGCCCTGGCACAAAACAATAAATAAAACCCACGTGATGAGGCTCTCTCTGTGTGCCTCACCCAGACAATGGGAGCCAAGGAAAGCTTCCCAGAGGCAGTGATTCTTAAGCAAATCAGGGGAATTGGTAGAGTAGGGGGCTGGGGATGTAGGGGCAAAGGTCTGGAGCCAGAAGGAATTTGGCCAGCTGAGAAATAATAGCTCAGGGGCTGGGTGTGGAGGCTTATGCCTATAATCCCAGCACTTCAGGGGCTGAGGTAGGAGAATCCTGAGTTCAAGGCCAGCCTGGGCTACATAGTAAGAGCCTGTCTAAAAAAAAAAAAAGAAAAAGAAAAAGAAAAAGAAAAAAGAAATAGCAGCCCAGTGCAGCTGGAAGGTGGAGAGATGAGGCCGGAGGAGGGGACGCTGCCTGCTGGTACCTGCTGAAGACCTGGCCTTGTGGGCAAATCACCATTCATAGTTTTTTTTTTTTTTTTTTTTGACAAGGTTTGCCATGTCCTTTTAGAACCAGAAAGACATACAGCCGTAATCATCTTCACGCTAATGGTTTTTTTGTTTTTGTTTTTGTTTTTTGGCAGTACTGGGGATTGAACTCAGGGCTTCTACCACTTGAGCCCTAGTCTTTTGGCCTTTAGTTTGTTTTTCAGACTGGGTGTCTTGCTTTTGTTCAGGGCCAGCCTCAGACTGAGATCCTCCTACCTATGCCTCCCAAGCAGCTTGGATTAGAGGCATGCACCACCACATCTAGCCTAATGAGTTTTCTATTGGGAAATATTACATAGTAAAATGAATGAGGCACATTTCTGGCCTGGTAACAAAGGCACAGAGAATGACACAAGCAAACCACACTCATTGCCACCATGTAGGGGCAGCCCAATTAAGGGTAACACAGGAGAAATGGCCCCTCAGAGGTTAGTGATTTGAACTTGACCCCCAAATGCCATGTCCTGGGCTCCCATGCCTATCACAGATGCCTTTCCAGCCTCTAATACTGCAGTTCCACTAGAAAGTAACCCTCTAAGTGTGTGTGTTTGTTGGGGAGGGGTCTGTGTCTCAGCCCAGTCTTGCTCAGAGCATGCCCTCTAAGCACAGGGTGAACTAAGGGTGACTGACCAGGGGATGCTTTCTTCTGGGTGGAGTTTTCTTTAACTGGAAGGTCTCCCCTAGACTTGAGTATTAACTCCCCAAGGGCAAGATTTCTTTCTATTTCATCTGCCCCTTGCTACTTCTCCCTGTACCCAGAATCCACACAGACCAGTTTCCATTTCTTTCAGTATAGAGAAAGGCATTGGATCAAGGAGAAAGATCACTGCTTTTGGAGCTGGATCAAACCAACATCCATCTCTTTTTGTCTGTGTGAGCCTGGGCAAGTCATCCACCTCTTTGAGCCTTAGTGTCTTCTCTATAAAACAAGGACATAACAGTATCAATATGCAGGATTGTTAGGAGAACTGAATGTCAATTTATGCATGACCTTAGCACTCTACTTGGCACAGAGTCCGTCCTTCCAAAATGTTAGCTCTCTACCATTCATCATCCTCCTCTATCACTTTCTTCAGGTCGGGTCAAAGACCCCTGTTTCCCTCCTCCCGTTCTCTGGGCGATGTTTAGAAAGGCAGGGGGAACCCCTGAGCGAACTACTTTGCCCCTTATGCGTCTATTTCTTTATCTATAAAATAGGAGTGTGGCCAAATAATATTTTAAAACATTAACTCTTCTTTCTTCTGTTGTTCCTTCCAAGCAGGAGTTTGGCTCAGGGGAAGCTTTAAAGAACCTACAAGTCTTTCAGTCTTTGCCTAAAACTTTCAAATATGTGTGTGATGTATTGGAAAGGGATAAAAGAGGAATCTCCCAGAGATAGCTGACAAATCCTAGAGGGGCCTGGGGGAAACAGAAGATTTGAGGACCCTAGGACTGGAAGAGGCTACTGGGCTTCCAGAGATGGCAGCACAGCACCTCCAGGTGCCTGGACCTCTGCCAACTTCAACCCCAGGCCTCGGGTGACCCAGATGCCCTGGGGATGGCCAGGCATTGTGGATGGGTACCACCTTAAGATGAAGGATGCCATGGACCTACCTGGACTCTGGCCACACGAGGTGGCAGGAGCAGGGAGTTAATGCCAGAATGGTCCAGGGGATTCCCACCACCCCAGCCAACTGGGGCCCGAGAATCAGAAGCAAAAAGGTAAGCTATAGAAAAATGAGGCAATCCTTCTCTCGCCTTGAGTGTGGAGACTGACTTCATGCCTACTACAGGATAAGAAGACTTCACAGATTCTGAAGATTATGATTATGATTAACTGAGATGACTTGTATAAAAAAGCTGGCACTGGGCTGACTTTAATTTTTCCCTTTGTACAGTGAGTTCAATCTCAGATCTCTTATGTGGGCCAGCACAGTGGTTCCAGCCCAGAAGTGGTGTCCACTTGTACTAAACCTGCTTCTGCTTCTCCCCAGCCAGTGAGCTAAGCTCTCTGACCTTAAGTCCCTCATCTGGAAAAGGGCAAGCAATTCCTGTCCTGTGTGGTGGTCCTTGTCAGAGCCAGCCAGGAAACAGGTCTCCCCGGCCTCTCCCCAGCTCCAGGGCTCAGGCCTTACCTTCCGTGGTGAGACTGTCAATGAGGAGGGAAGAGACGGTGGTGGTGAGGTCGCTGTCAAAGGGGCTGAAGAAGCTCTCAGGGGAGGCTGAGTAGTGGTCCTCATCCTGGAAGTCCTTGCATGTCTTGCCCTCTTCCTGTAAGAGACCTCAGCACTGTAGTCTGGACAGAGCACTTAAACCTGTACTTAGTCCCAGCACTCAGGAGGCTGAGGTGAGAGGATTGATTGAGCCCAGGAGCTTGAGGCCAGCTGGGCAACATAGCGAGACATTGTCTCAAAAACAAACACTGAAAAAAACCAAACAAAACCAGCCTTCCACTTTATCTTGAATGTATCTTATAGGGCAATTTATCTGTCAGTTGCTTCAAATCCTTCCTCAAGGAAGACTGGCTGAGATGCCAATCAAATAAATAGAGCAAATCTGGACTTTCTCCAACAGCCAGCATCAGAAGTAGGCAGCTGGACGAGATTTTTTGGTTTTGTTTTTGGTGATACTAGGGGTTGAACTCAGGGCCTTGCACTTGCTAGGCAGTTGCTTTGTTACTTGAGGCCACACCACTAGACCCTTTTGCTTTTGTTATTTTTCCAGTAGGGTCTCGCTTTTATGCCTGTGCCGGCCTGGACAGTGATCCTCCATCCTCCTATATATACTTCACACAGAGTTGGGGGACAGGTGTGCACCACCACACCAAGACTTTTTTTCCTTTTTTTGCAGTGCTGGAGTTTGAACTCAGGGCCTACACCTTGAGGGCCTACATTCCACCAACCCATTTTTTGTGATGGGCTTTTTCGAGATAGGGTCTCGCAAACTATTTGTCTGGGCTGGGTTCAAACTGCAATCCTCCTGATCTCTGCTTCCTGAGTAGGTACAATTACAGGCATAAGCCACTGGTGCCCAGCTCACACCAAGCTTTTTATTTGTTGAGATAGGGTCTTGCAAACTGTTTGCCCTAACTAGCCTTGAAAGCAATCCAAATAGCTAGCTAGGATTACAGGTGTGAGCCACTGCACATGGCTAAGACGCCTTTCTTTTCTTTTTTAAGGCCAGATAAAGATGCTCATCAGCCCCAGACTAATAAAAGGGACCTTGGTGGGTGCATGGCAGTGGAACCTGGGGTCCATCTTTAAACACTAGGCCTGGCATCTTCTAGCTGTGAGTTGGCTTCTCTAATAAGCTCAGTTTCCCCTCTGATCAATGGGGCACAGGTACCCAACTTTTTGAGTCATATTAAATATAAGTGTAGAGCAGCACACAGTTAAGTGTTTGGCACATGCAATGTGCTTGCATTACAAGAAGAGAGAGCTGGGTGTGGTGGTGCATGCCTGTAATCCCAGTACTCAAGAAGCTCAGGCAGGAAGATTATAAGTTTGATGCCAGCCTGAGCTACATAGTATAGACCCTGTCTCAAAATTTAAAAAAAAACAAAAACAAATAAATAAACAAGGACTGGTGGAGTGGCTCAAGCAGTAGAGTGCCTACCTAACAAACATGAGGGCCTGAGTTCAAGCCCCATGCCACGCCAATAACAATAATAATAATAATAAATAAATAAATAAATAAAGAGGACAGAGAAGGAATGGGAGCAAAGAAAGATGCATGAATGAGTGCACCTGTGTGCATCAATTTGCAGTATGAGAAGAGGCTTCTCCTTATCTAGAATCAAAGTGTTGAGCGTTCTGGAAAATTCTAGCAGTGAGATGAACCTGTATGGGACTCAAAATGGTAGGTGCCTGGAACAGCCCTTCTCATCCCCAGAATGACCACCTCCCTCAAAAGCCAGAAGGGCTGGGGGCCTCGGCAGGTGCTTCATTAATGTCACCAGGTACACAGCCTCCTAAAGGATCTAGCTATGACTGAGGCCAGGCCAATGTACCTTCCACAGGGACCAGAGGAATTCTGGGAACTGTCTGCGCAGGGCCAGTCACTAGCAGTACTAGTCTCAGGGACCCTCAGGGCCTTCCAGAGTGGGCTGACTGACTTGGAGCAGTGGCAAAAACAAAGCTCAGATGGAGGGGAGGAGAAGCCACCAAGGGCTAAAGACACCTTGGGGCTTGGGGAGGGGACTGCTGGCAGCCCCTCTTCCCCACCTGGAATAGGGGCTACTGCAGATCACTCATGTCTCTTACCTCCTGGGCACAGCCAAAAGCCAGCCACTCCTGGCGGTAGCGGTCAAAGCCACTGGAGCACCTGCAGAGGGACCAAAAGGTCAGGGATGTGAGGGGCTCGACAGAGCAGCCTTCCCCTTTCATTTCTCCCTACTCTGTAACAGCTCTGTGATGATCATGAGGAGAAAGGCCCCTCCCAGGCTGGGTGGACAGGCTCCCATGGCCATAGCATAGACCTGACTCAGACCTTCCTCTCTACTCCTTCCTGGAAGAAGCGGAAGGTGTTTGTGGCACTCTCACCCTCCTAACCCAGCTCCCCAGTCCAAAGCAACATCTGTCCAGCTGGGTGGGGCTAAACTGCATGAACTCTAGAGACCTTTAAGGTCCTTTGACTCTGTGCTGTCTTGGCATCACTAAGAATTTGGGCAATCTGTACCCACTCTCTCCTCTGAGAAAGGCTTGCTTGTCCCATTGTTGAGGGGCCTGAAGGTGGGCAGAAGGTAGGCATCAGCGGAATTAGCCAACACCTCCCTGTGTGATTACTAAATGACAATAAGGTCCTGCCAGAGGCTGGGAGAGATTAAACTCTGGCTGACAAGGGTCTCTGGAGAGGACACTGCAGTGTGGCTGGTCTGGAAGCCATCAAGTGCCTCCCTCCCTAGGGACAGTGTGGAGCATGAATCAGAGATGTTCTCTGCAGCACTGTGCTCAAATTTCCCTTCTTCCCTCTTCAGTGCCAGGAGAAGCCACCAAACCCTACTCAAGCCCAGAACATCTGCATGGGATGAATAATATTCCACACCACCAGAACAGAGAAAGAAGTCTCCATAAGTTAACTTAACACTAGCAGCCACCCACCCGTCTGCCCAAGACCCAGTGAGGCCAACAGCACTGGTTTCTGAGGGCCATTGTTCATTGCTTCAGTAGAGGCTTCCATAGCGTCCAGGCTGCTGCTCCCGCCTGAGGATGCTGAACTGGTGCAACTACATGCTCCTTCTTTCAGGTCCTCCATACTCATGATTTGGAGGATGGTGGATTATTCAAGTTCCTTTTAGATCAAGCTAACTGCTTCTTTTAAGGACTGAACTTTCAGTATAGGTCTAAGAACATTACATGCTAAGTCCTGTCAACCAGTCCAGAGTCAAAGAAGGGCATGAGAAATGACCATTTATTGAATATCTCCTGAATGCAGACACTGCCCCAGCCACAGGCTGCTTCTGTCCCTTCTCATAGGACCTCACAGTGACATGCGGAGACAAGAATATGACAGTCACTTCCTGCGCTAATCTGAAGCTAAAGTCACCTTAGACTCCACAGTGGGTCATGGAGAGGGAGTGATATAATGACAGAAAGATGCCTGTCATAGTAAGTGAAATTGTCTAAATCAGATCCAGCCCCAGAGCAGGGAGGGGGTGCCCTGGAAGGCTACAGAGGGTAGAGTTGGTGGAGGGAAGGAAAAAGGAGAACCTGGGGTGCCACTGCACCAGATCTGCCTTCTGGCTTTTTAGGGACATGGGGTCAGCTCTCATTTGGAGCCAAGGCTCTAGACAGCTGGCAAGGCGGGGCACAGGCTGGAGTGAGCCCAAGCCAGTTGGGCATCTGGGGACCCATCGTTTCCAGCCTGTCTGCCTCACACCCACTAATGGAGGGTCCTCATGCTGCAGCTGACAACCACAGCAGAGACAGAGGCCACTGGCAGAGGCCCTGCGCTTCCCCACCAGACTAGTCTTTTCATGTTGGGGGCCCCAGTCCACCCCCTCATCACACTGTCACGATCTCTGAGCCTGAGCATGGCTGCTAACTGGAGAGGGGTGAAGGGGAGGTGAGGGTCTGTGTTCATCTGACCCATTCTGCAGTTCCTATGGCTCAGCCTGTGTTGGATGCTGAGTCACACTGTGGCAGTCAGCCCCAAGATCCCAGGGCTCATCTGAGGCCACCTAGAGCGTCTCCCCACTGCTGACAATGGTTTTCACCTTGGAAAGTGCACAAGATGAGGCACTCCAAAAGTCAGACCCCTGGGGTCCTGGTCCCAGGGGCTCGTGTTCACTGGATTGGGGTGGGTTTTCTTGTACCAAGACCTGAAGGTGATTCTGAGAACCTCACAGTCTGCAGTCTGCAAAGCAACACTCCAGGAAGAGCCAGCCTTGGGATCTGCTCTACCAGCTCTCTCAGGCTCTGCGTCCTTCCTGCGAAGGTCCCCGAGTCTTTGTTTAAATGCTGTTTGGCATTTGAGGAGTTCACATAATAGTGAGTTCCTCACCCATGACTCCCTGAGTCGCATAGCCCCCGTCCATTTTACAGGGTAAACAAACAGGTCTCATAGAATGAGTAAAAGCATAGTTGAAGGGAAGAATACCTCGGAGGCCTAGTGAGCCCCCTGCCTGCTCCTCCCTGCCAGGCAGTCCTGTGTGCCAGGCAGGCTGCCTGTAGAGGCCAGCAGTTCTGTTTCTGCTCCAGGAGGTTGGAAAGCAGCAAAGGAAATGCTGACAGCTGCACAACAGCTGCCCAGGAACTTGGAGATTACAAGTTTTGAGATTTTCAAGATTGCCTTAGAGGCTCTTAGAGTTCTTAGGACTTTCCACCCTCATGAGAGCCCTAGTCCCCAAAGGAATCCTTTTTTCCCCCTCTGCCTTTTATTTATCTTGGAGAGGAGAACAGAACTTGAAATGAGTCTAATCTGTGAGGAAATGATTTCAGAACAAGGAGTGGAAGATGAGTCAGGTTTAAGAACTTTATCCCTAGACTGGATCTCACCCAGAATTTTCTATGCTTCCAAAACCAAGCAAACACAGCTTTGTAGCTTCTCCTGTTTCCATGGGTGCCTGCAACATCCACACCCCTGGTTTTCAGGAAACTGTGTTTCAGCCCCAGAAAGAATACTTGAGGCAGTATTTTGGGATCACAGGGCTCCCCAGTAGTAATGGTTCTTTGGTTCACAGCCTGTCTCTGAGCTGGCAATTCTTATACTTGTTGGCAGACAAGGTGCCATTAAAACACAGGCTCCCAGATCTCTCCTGAAATCCTGACCCAAGGAGCCTAGAAATCTGCATGTTTAACAGGAGCCCGGTAATTATGGGATGCCCACAGCTTTGGAATGGGCACATGCCCTGCCACATGTGAAGCCCTGCTCTAGGATGTAACAGCCTTTCCTGAGGGTGCGGAGGGAGCTACCGGAGCTGGAGTCCCTGAATGGTCATCCAGAAGCCCAGCGTCAGCTCAGGCCACAGCCTGCCACCTGCATAAGCTTCAGAGAGAAACTCGCTTCTGTAACATTCCTGTCCTAAGGGTCAGAGTGGTACTGGCCAGAGAGAGAGCCTCATGCTGGCCAATTTTGGGCAGTGAAGCCTGAAGCCGGAAGTGGGCCTTTGTCACCCTTTGGCCCTCCTCCATGGTCTGTTGTTGGGATTCAGTGCATAACCTGGCACAAACCTCTGTAGGACATGGCACCAGCTGCAGTTGAAGGTTAGATCCGAGGACATGCAGGCATCACAGCTCCGATGCTGCAGGCAGGCTGCAAGAGAGGGGCAGAGGCCACTCAGCACCTCTCCATTTGCTCCAAAGGGTACAACTCCTAAATTCTGGGTCCTTCCAGAACTATGGAATCTCTGATTTAGTGGGGACCCTGGAGGCCCTTATTGCCACCCTCATTTGAAAAGCAGCCCAAATTGCTCCCTCTGTTCCTCCTTTCTTTTTATTCCTCCCTCCCTCACCACCCCCTGCTTCCTTCCTTCCATCACCCAGGGATTAAGCCCCTGAGCTGGTGCTGAGGATTCCACAGTAAAACCTAGTCCCTGCCTTCTGGGGCTTATAGTCGTATGGAGAAATAGCAGGTAATCAAACAAAAATAATCACAGGATTATGATTGTTATGAGGTCTATGAAGAAAACTTACAGGACACTGTAAGTGTGTACAGCCAGGGATGTTATTCAGTAAGCCTGCCTTATTTGCAATACACACAGTTTTGCCCAAATGAGGTAATAAATAAATAAATAATCAAAAGAAATTTCAAAAAACAAAAAATTTTAATTCCTTAGCATGCATGCTGCAGCTCAATTGGTGTGGAGAAGCTCTCAGTTCTGTGTTATCATCAGTTGTGTTTAAATCATTGTGTGATCTGCTGGGTGTTTTCCTGCCCTTAATTTTGTGAAAATATGCTTTCCAAAAAAGCAAATGGTGCCCCCAAATCAAAGTAAAAGAGATCAAGTGAAAATGTGAGATTTGTTGAAAAGCAGGGCATGTTTGCTGGCATTGTGGGAAAAATCAGTCAAGCATCTTCAGTACTGCACTGGGCGCTATGTATCCTGGGCATTCATGGTCTGTCCTCAATGGCTGTGTAGTTGGAACCATGCACCCTGAGATACCAAGTCTACTGTACTTCCGGATATACCTCCTGCATTCACACGTTGACTGAGGCATCTAAGATGCTCAGGTCTTGCTTTGCAAGTGCAAAGCCCTGAGCTCAAACCTCAGTACCACCAAAAAGAAAAGAAAGTAAAAAGTGCTGCAAAATGAGAAATTTGCAACACGTGTAATGGATAAAGAACTGATACCTAAGGTCTATAAAGAACTACTACCTATCAATAAGAAAACAGATAATCCAATAGAAAAATGGGGAAAAGACTTGAATCAGCATTTCACAGGAGAGGAAATGCAACTGAATAATAACCAAGTGGAAATATGACTCATTAGTTATCTGGGAAACATAAATTAAAACTATTATCATGACAGCACTCCAACATTGCTAAAACTTAAAAAAAGCTTAATACTAAGTGTTGAAAAGGATGCAAAAAAACCCAAAAAAACAAAAACCTGGAACACTGAAATACTATTGGTGAGGGTGTAAACTGAAATGACTACTTTGGAAAAAATTTAATGATATCTATCAATGCAGACCTTATGATCAAACAATTCCAACCCTTTAAATAGACTGTGGTATATTCACACAATGGAATATTATACAAGAATGATTAGAGGTAAACTACAGCACACAACATGGATGAATCTCACAGTAATACAACATCAAGTGAAAGATGCCACTCAAAAAGTACTTACAGTATGATTTCATCCCATACATACAATATATGTGAACAAAATTAAGCATACATACATGCACATATTGCATATCTCAAAAGATATGTATAGTACCATTCAAACCTGAATACCACCAAAAAAAAAAAGATGTATACAACACCAAAAGACACACAGCAGCATTTTTCATAACAACCCAAAACATCAACACTATCAATATCAGACTGAATAAACAGATTATGGTATATTTCTAAAATGGAATATTATACAGGAATGAAAATGCTATACACAACATGAATGAATCTCACAATACAATGTCAAGTGAAAGACACCACGCTCAGAGAAGTAGATACAGTATGATTCCAATAATATAAAGCTCAAGAATAGGCAATCTATGGTATAAAATGTCAGTATTGTGGTCATGTTTGGGGTAGGAGAAAAGGAGAAGGAGGTTGAAGAAGACTCCAATACTAGTAACTTCAAATTTCTGATCTGAGTAAATGATAACATGAGTGTGTCTGATTTGTGAAAACTCACTGAGTTGTACATTTAATATTGTGCACTTCTCCATGTTACCCTTCAATAAAAATGTTGCATTACTGAAAAAAAAAAAAAAAAAGATGCTCAGGTCTGCCCTTGCCATGCTAGCTGGCAGTCCTCACTGCCTACTCCCGACATCGAGCCCTTAGGAGGGACTGCTGCCAAAATCCCACCTGAGCCTCCTCCTAGGAAGTCTGAGCAAACCAGGTATAGGGATCCCATTCCTTTCTTCTCACTCTCCTCTAGAAAATGAGCTATTCGCAGAGCACAGGGGCCATCATCACTGCTCTTTCAGCCTACAGTTTGACTTGGAGGTTACTTCACACTCAGGTGCCTTAGTTCCCTCAATTACGAATCAGGGAATGTACTACCACCTGCCTGGGAGACTCACCATGAGCATGAAGTGAGAGGTACTGAGGAGGAGCATCTGGTAACTGTCACTTGTTATACATTTATTTATTCCTCTTAATAAATCTGGGAGGTGTTCCTCCATCTACTCATTCATTCAACAAATACTGCCAGGCATGGTGGTATATACCTGTAATTCCATCACTGAAGAGGCAGAGGCAAGGAGGATCAGGAGTTCAAGTTCACCCTAGGCTACATAATGAGTTCTAGGCTAGTCTGAGCTATATAGTGAGACTCAGTCTTAAAAAACAAAATGAAACAAAACAAAACAAATAGTTACTGTCCACTGGGGTCAGGTACTATCCCAAGTGCTGGAGACCAGGAATGAGTTGAAAAAGGCAGAGACACCTGCAAGTGGACAAACATTAAGTCTGCTCCAGGACTTCAGGGTGGCAGAATGAGAGTGGCGGATGGGTCCCACTAGGGAGACAGAGGAAGGCCCTTGGAGCAGGGACCTTTGGACAGAGACAGAGAAGAGAGAGAGAAAGCTGACAGCTCTCCTGGGGAAAGAAAGGCCCAGGCAGAAGGCCCAAGTGTGGGCCTTCACAGAGCAGATAGATAGGAAGCAGCAGGAATGAGGACTGTCTTGATGGAGGGTGACTGGGTTAGTGGGTGGAGCTGAGACCGGAAAGATGTCCGAACCCTGTGTCCCCCTGATGTCTGGGGGGAAGTCACTGCTGAGCCCAGGCAGAGTTGGCCCAGCATTCATGACCAAACCCTCCTCCTCTGTTTGACCCCATTGCACATTCCAGGATGGCAGAATGCCCCCATCAGTGGGAACGCCCCCATCAGTGGGAACGCCCCTACTCACTTGGTAATGGGGTGAACTCCACAGCTGATGTGCTGGTGATCTTGCTAGAGTCCAGCTCCACACGGTGGTATTCAAAGATGGTCCTGCGCCGAGACTCTGAAACAGAGGTAGAATCTGTCATCAGGAGTATGTCACAGCAGAGGGCTTTGAGGCTTGTACAGAGCCTGCCAGGAGTTAGTCTGCAATCTCTAAGGAGGAAGTAAACCTGTCCACCTGGAATAGCGATGCTGAAACTGCAGGGAGACTGGAGGACAGGAGCTGATCCTGAGAGGAGAGCCCTCTATGATGAGCAGGGTGAGCGACACAACACAGAGGCCTAGCTGTTCCTGGTGTCAGGATGAGGGGATTTCCTGCCTCCTTATGCCTCTGAGCCATAACACCTATTGATCCCTCGACCCATATATTCTTCTGTCCTTCTCTCCTTATCTAGCATACTCTTGCAGCTCCAGCTCGAGCCCTGGTTCCTCTGAGTAGCTCCTCCTCCCCCCCCCGCCCCGCCCCACTTAAGCCAGGTGCCCTCCTCCTACTGCATTCATCACACTGGCTGGACAGTAGGTTCTGTTAGAATGGGGGCTGTGAGTACCTGGCCCTGAACCTGATCCACAGTGAGTACTCTGCAAGTGGAAAGACTGCGTTTTGGACAATGCTGACCACATCCCCTCCTGATGGAGGCCTGTGCAAGATTCAGGGACTGGAGCCAAGCTTAAGTCCTAAATCCCTTCAGAAACTTCCCTCAGGACCTCAGAGTCAGAAGACTCAAGTTCTGATTCAAGTTCTGCTCCTGACCTTGTTAAATAACCTTAGGCAAGTCACTGAGCCTCAGTTTCTTGTCTATGAAGTGGAAATGCAGAAACATCTGCCATGACACCTTTGAAAGGAAAAAACTGGAATTGTAAAGGCTAGTCCTGAAATGGTAATCTCACATGCTCTGATATTTCCCACTATCCCACCATGCTCAACCAAGAACCATGACTCAGGAATGGTTTCCTTCTGTGCTGAAAGGCAAGCATCCAGCTGCTGACCTTTGCAAATGAGTTTCCCCACATGGGGAAAGGGCCACTTAGTGTGTGGTCTGCCCAACACCCCTTCCTTCTTTTGGAAACAGCATTTCCTTTGGGGGATCTGTGCCCAGCCCATTTCTACATGTGGACTGCCTCAGACTCTCCATCTTCCATGATCCTGCCTCAAAGTGATTGGTTCAGGGTTGGACCAGAGACCTTCTCTGGGCCTTTTCAACTATAACCAAGAAGACTTTTGCTCTGCAGTAATGAAATTGAGAAGATGCAAGGTCAGACCCTATGAACAACCATGGTTCCAGTTTCGTGGGGAAAGCCAGAGAATTAAGCCATTTTGTGGAGAGAAATAGGAAGTACTGGTGGTGTTCTGGGACCTGTCCTGGGCCCCATCTTTCTAGGTGTTCAGCTCTTCCTTTAGTTCTCTGGGCTACTTCAGCATTCTCCAACGCAACCCACATCCCTTTCTGTTTAAACTAGTTTGGATTGGATTTTTGGCATTTGAAGCCCAGAGCTGATGGGAACATAAGCTTCTCACTTAGCTAAAGGTGGTTTGGAGGAAAATTTCTCAAGGTGTCCACAGAGATCAGTAGGAGGATCATATTGGGTCTCTCATGCCCCCACTATCCTCCTGTATGAAGAATCTAGGGGAGGAGTATCTACCACTTAGCAGAACATCTCAGCTGTGTTTCATGATTTACTTATCCTCAATCTTGGAATTGTTCCCTCCTACTAAACACAGGACTGAACCCCAGTTGACCCCAGTCTAAAGCATGCTGTCTCTCTCCATCACATCACACAGCCCTGCTGCAGGGTTACAGCAGACATCTCAGCCTCCAAAATAATTGACACCACAGAACATCATTTCATGCAATGAGAAGGAAACGGCTCTGGCATTGGTGCCAGCAAAGGTACCCTGGAACTAAACAGGAACCAGCTCTGGGGCCTGTGCTTGAAATGCCAGCACTGCCCCCTCACTCCCTTGTCACTAGGGGAGGCCACCTGTCATTCATGGGACAGGCCCTGCTCTGGTCTGGGTGTGAAGGGAAGAGAAATTGGGAGGCTGACCATGACCACAGAGAAAGAGAGGCCCTATATCAGGACAGGGACACGGGGAGTGGAGGATATGGGAGGCACTGCAACCGGGTGGACACCTGGGTGACCCTGAATGAGGGGCTGAAGCTCAGTGAACCACATCCAGCAATGAGACTAGTCATACTGCACTTACGGGGTTGTTCTGAGAATTACAAGACAGCTCCTGCACAAAAAGCACCTGAATCCCAGGAGCTGCTGCAAGCTTGAGAAACCCTCTTTCCTCTCAGCCCCAACTCCTTCTTTAAAAATTTTATTTTTATTAGTACATATTAATTGTACAAAGGAGTTTCACTCTGACATTTCCATACATGCATATAATATACTTCGATTAAAATCACTCTCTATTACTCTTTCTTATCCTCCTCCCAGCTCCTTTTTTTGTTATGTTTCTTGTGGCTGAGACTCTAAGGCACTTTTAGCCACACCTAAACCCTCAAACTCCACCCTAACCAATGTTATAAATTTCAACATGAGGAAGAAGGATGGCTCACTTCTTTCTTCTGTTCCACTTTTTTTTTTTGGTGGTGGTACTGGGCTTTGAATTCAGGTCCTCAAGCTTGCTAGGCAGGTTCACTTCTTTCTTCTTTTCCTTTCTCTCTCTCTCTCTCTCTCTCTCTCTCTTTCTCTCTCTCTCTCCTCTCTGTCTCTCTCTCTCTGATAGCATATTTCAGAGAATTTCTAGTGGACCAGCACGTCCCTTCTGCTATGGAGATTGCTGTGAGTGGAGACCCGCAAAGAGACAGCTGACCACCATGCTGGCTGGCAACCTGGACATCCTGGTCCACCACCTTTACCCTCCCAGCCTTCAGTGCCATTCCCCCACTGCCCAGCATCCTGTGTGCCTCTCTTTGCCCTCTGCAAGGTCCAGGGTGCTTGCTGTTCTTCCTGGGGCTGCCACTCCTCGCCCTGGCCTCTGCTGGTTTTTTCCTGGTCCAAAGGAAATGCCGTTTTTTTCTTTTGCCCCCTCTGGATAATGAGGCAATAGAAGTGGGGGATGTTGGTGCTCAGGTGTCAAATGGGCCTGGGGGCACTAGGGGTTGGGATGAATCTCCCACTGATGCCCTGAAGGCTGCTCAGAGAGTACTGATTTAAGAATCTCCCTAAACACACACACACATGCACACACACACACACACACACATTGCATACACACTGGCTGTCATGGAGAAGGTGGTGGTGGTGGGAGGCCTTTCCTGCCAGGGAGGATGACCACTCCAGCTCTGAGGTGCCCTCCCATCCTGTGGACTCCTGAATAGAAGCTGGATAGTTTGGAATGAGATCCAGGCCTTGTCCTGCTTTCTCTCTCCATCTTCCATTCAGATAGGTCTGAGAACGTGCTACTTCTCAGGCAAACAGCTGGAAAGAGTGGGTGGGATGAGGTGTCCAGGCGACCCTATCAGGTGTGCACCAGGAGAATATCACTGGGTATGGGCTCTGTCGGAGATGAGATGGGCCACAGCTTCAGAGACTTGGCAATATCAGGCTGAGAGCTGCCAGGGAGCTAAGAAGTCAAATTGTCTTGCCATTCATTTTACAAGTGGGGAAACTGAGGTTCAGACTGATAAATTTTGTATGACACTTTACAATTTATCAAGCCTATCCACAACTTTAAATGGAAACATCTACCATAACTGAATGGGAAAACTTGCCCCAAAGCCTAGCGCCATAGGTACGGCAGTCACTCCTCAGCACACCTGTTCTGTCCCAGGGCTCTGCTAAATCTTGAGTGAGCCTTCAGTGACAGCAGGACAGACCTGGTGCTAGCCACCTTGGGGCTCATATCAGGAGGTTACCTGGTTCTGAATCATTTCACCCTCACAACTTTCTGGGGTATACAGACAGATGTCACTGTTCTCCACATTTTACAAAGGAGGAAGATGAGATTAAGGAGGGGACATTATTTGCTCAAAGCCACACAATCTTTTTTTTTTTTTCCTTTGCAGGGGCCAGACTTAAAACTCAGGTCTTAATGCCAGGACAGCTCTAGAAAGCTCCCAAACGTGTGCACAGTTCAACAACTGCCTCGGGCAAGGTGGGGAGAAGACCAGGAAGTCCCCACTTATAGCTTAGGCCAATTTTTTTTTAATTTTATTATTCATATGTGCATACAAGGCTTGGGTCATTTCTCCCACCTGCCCTCACCCCTCCCTTACCACCCACTCCGCCCCCTCCCTCTCCCCCCCACCCCCTCAATACCCAGCAGAAACTATTTTGCCCTTATTTCTAATTTTGTTGTAGAGAGAGTATAAGCAATAATAGGAAGGAACAAGGGTTTTTGCTGGTTGAGATAAGGATAGCTATACAGGGCATTGACTCACATTGATTTCCTGTGCGTGTATGTTACCTTCTAGGTTAATTCTTCTTGATCTAACCTTTTCTGTAGTTCCTGGTCCCCTTTTCCTATTGGCCTCAGTTGCTTTAAGGTATCTGCTTTAGTTTCTCTGCGTTAATAAGGACAACAAATGCTAGCCAGTTTTTTAGGTGTCTTACCTATCCTCACCCCTCCCTTGTGTGCTCTCGCTTTTATCATGTACTCAAAGTCCAATCCCATTGTTGTGTTTGTTAGGCCAATTTCTATGGTGCAAATCTTCCCACCAGAGTTAATTTCATGTTGCTCCTTTAGTTACTGAACTAGTGCTAAGAAGAAACTGCACAACGGGCTCCCACCCATGCAAGTTAGTGATCTCCCTCCCCACTCCAACACTGCTTAGAGCATCCTCATTTGTGTTTCTAAAAGAGTCACAGAAAAACATTTACATATCTGTCTTTAAGAATAAATAATTAAGCCACACATTGGTGGCTCAAGCCTGTAATCCTTGTTACTTAGGAGGTCGAGAACAGGAGGATTGTGGTTCAAAGCCAAGCCCAGGCATACAGTTCTCGAGACCCCATCTCAAAAACTCATCACAAAAAATAGCTGGCGGTGTGGCTTAAGTGGTAGAGCACCTGCCTAGCAAGCATGAGGCCCTGAGTTCCAACCCCAGTGCT